GATATCTGGGTGGTGGATTTGGGATCAAATATGGTGATTCGTGTATTCTACGGATTTGGAGACTGGGAGTTCTCAGGAGCAGATTGTTTCATGGTTGTGCACTGTGAAGTTGTGGCCGAAGCTAGCCAGATGATAGTATGTGTTATGATTCAGTCATTGTGGACTTTTGAAGGGTTATATATCTATTTGTGGATGGCTAGAGTTGATGTGAGGGTCCATTGGTTGGCTCCATACTACTATTGTTGAGGGATGTGACATTCTCTTGTTGTTGAGCTTAATCGTGTTCTGAAATGATCTATGAGTTACTCATCTATGCTGCGAGGAGTTGTGATTCGTTGGGTATATGCACATATGGTTCGGTTCTATTTGGGCTTTATAGCAGAAAGTTGAGCAAGATGAGTATTAGGTATTGCGTGATTGATTGCGCGTTGGCTATGTTCTTTCCGGATGGTGGCATTGTTTTATTTGCTCTCCGTGGTTATGGTAATGCACTTTGGGTGCTTGATGTCGAATTTTGCAGGGTTATTGATTTTGAGCAGGGTGGCTCGAGGTATATAATATGGACCAGCATTTGGATGGGTCACGCATTGTAGCGGAGTTATGTTGAGACATAATCCTTTGGGTTAGATTTGTGTGTTTTGGTTATACGGTGTGCGCTAGGTTCTTAGCATTGCGTTGTGGCGATACCTGTTGAGCTGGCGAGACAGTTCTCTCGTCTGAGTCATTTTCCATGATTGAGTACATTTGGAATGTTGCTTATGGGTGCACGGATTGCACGAGTTGCGGCATTAGATTGTATTGATGTGTCGTGTCACTAGACTAGTCGTGTTGGATGGGATGAGGTCATCGTACCTGGAATGGGTGCTATCGGATCTGATTGCGGTATATTTGGAAGGATATCGTTGTTGATCGGCTTAGAAATTTGATATAGTTCCTATCAAAGGAGAGGGAGTTCCACAACTTGTTAATATGATGTATGGTTATGAGTTTCTGCGTGTTTCTTTCATCATTGGCAGTATATGAAGGTGTTAGAACGAGGCATTGTTTGATAAGAGGGTTTATTACCGGCATCAGGTTATTTTGAGCAACTACTGTGATTAGAAATTATCGTTATGAGTATTTCAGTTTTGAGGTATATCATGTGATTACATCTTGGGTTACGGATATGGCTTGATACATCTTGTTCAGACTTATACAGAGTGTAGATGCGAGATTCTGATCTTATAGAAAATTTCGGATGAGGAAATTGGATTCTAAAGTTTATGGGCTAGGTTGGATTAAGAAATTTCAGTCAAGTTGTGTTATCAGACCTATATGGGATAGGGTGACGTGGGATCACCGCCGGGTATGTGCATGGTAAGGTTACACTACGGTGATGGATTTGAGAACAACTATGGGCACGTTCGAGGTCGAACGTATATTTAAGTGGGGGAGGATGTAATGACCCGACCGGTCGTTTTGAGCATTTGCACTTCTCTTGGTTGTTTGAGGGCATGAGTAGCTTCGTATGATGTATTATGACTTATGTGAATCGTCGGTTATGGTTTTCAGGTTATTCGGAATTGATTTGGAAGAATGATTCTCAGCTAGAAGCTTTAAATTTGAAAGGTTTGACCAAGTTTTAACTTTTTAGAATTTGACATCGGATTGGATTTCTGATGGTTCCGCTCCGTTGGGTGATTTTGGACTTAGAAGCGCATCCGGATTGTGATTTGGAGGTCCGTAGTAGAATTTGGCTTGAAATAGCGAAAGTTGGAATTTTGGAAAGTTTGATCAGGAGTGGACTTTTTCATATCGGGGTCGGATTCTGATTCCGGAAGTTGGAGAAGGTTTATAATGTCAAATGTGACTTGTGTGCAAAATTTGAGGTCAATTGGACGTGATTTGATAGGTTTGGGCATCGGTTGTGGAAGTTTGAAGTTTCAAGTTCATTGATTTCGAATTGAGGTGTGATTCGTCATTTCGATATTGTTATGTGTGTTTTGAGGCCTCGAGTAGGTCCGTGTTATGATATGGGACTTGTTGGTATGTTCGAACAGGGTCTCGAGGGGCTCAGGTGCGTTCCAGATAGGTTTGGGTTGTGTTGCGCTCGTTTTTGATGTTTCGACGTCGTTTCTTCAAGCATAAATGGTACTACATTAAGCAAATGAGCTCCGATTTATGTTTTTATTGAAGCATTAGATCCGTATCGTAATTACGGAGCCATAGATAAAATAATCGTCGAATTTGGACATCATATGAGGATTTTATGGTCATTTTACTAAGAATTCGGTTGCCAGATTTTTCAGATTAATTAAGAAATTGCTATTGAGTTCGTATTTAGAAATCTGCACTATTTCCAAATATTGAAACCAACATATCTCTTTCAATATAAGGTCAAATGGAATGATTCAAGAGCCAAACTTGACTAAATTTTACAAGGAATCCATTGGAGAGATCAAAAGTAAGTTACTGGATCATTTGGCACGAGAAGAGAGGTAGAATAGCTGGCTGAAAAATATATAAAATAAGGGTTTATTCATTTGGTCATATTTTGAGTTGAGGAGCTCGGATTTGGGGTAAATGTTCTCTACTCGATTTTCAGCATTGTTTAATGTATTTGAATTGTTTTTGGTTAGTTTTGAGCCGTTCGGAGGTCAGAATGCACGAGATGGCATTTTTGGAGCATCGCTTGACTTGCTCGGTATTGGAATTGGCTTCTTAGAGGTAGGTAACTCTTCTAAACTTAGTGCTGAGGGTATGAAACCCCGAATTACGTGCTATGTGATTGGTACTGAGGTGACGCACATGCTAGGTGACGGGCATGTAGGCGTGCACCCTGTGAATTGTGACTTCATTGTTTCCATGGCACTGTATAGTGGCCCTATTTGTTGTTGTTTGTATTTTCACCATGTGATTAAGTAATTGAGCTGTAAATCATGCTATATATCATATTAGGCTTTATGTTGATACTGTTGGGACCCATAGTGGTCATATCTTGCTGTCATCTCACTGATTTTTCTGATATTTTCGTACTTAGTCATATTCATGCATTCATATCATATCTCAGTCCCAGTTGTTACTTATTGATACATCATATCATTGTTGTCGGGCTAGTTTCATGACATTGTGAGCCCGTGAATGAGACTGGAGAGATTGGGGACTGAGTGAGGCTGAGAGCCTGATTATGAGTGACTGTTATGGGATCGGGCTGCACGTCCCAGCATGTTATCTTGATTACATTTTATGGGATCGGGCTGCACGCCGCAGCGATATAGCGCTTGGACTGAAGGAGCCCTCCGGAGTCTGCACACCCCACAGTGAGCGCAGTTGACTATGTATATATATGTATATAGATCGGGTTGCATGCACAACGAGCCTTATGGCTATATGTATATGGATCGGGTTGCACGCTGCAACGAGCCTTATGGCTATATATATATATGGATCGAGTTGCACGCCGCAACGAGTATTGTATAGTGCTGAGTATTGAGCACGGTAAGAGATAATGCGAGACAGTGAGGTTGAGTACTCCGAGAGTGTGAGTACACGAGTTCATCACAGAGAGGCATTGCATTTTTCATGCGTACTTGAGATACATGCATAGAGATGCATTTTCTTTTGCTGCCTGGTTTTGGTGACATTCATGATTTTACCTATATCTTGACATGTAGGTATTGTGATATACTTTCCTCATGCTATCTGAAAAATGAAACATTTACCTGATGAAAGGTTTTTGGGAAAAATTTCAGTTTTCAAACTTACTCATATTTTTTACGATTTCGGTAAAGGATTTGGGCTTTCACTGATATACTTGAAAAGCAGAACTAATTTTGGAAAACTATGAAAAGGCTGAGCATTTTATCTCTGAGCTTTTTCTTTATTTAATTGCTTTACATTATTATGAAATGTTATTGGCTATGTGTGTTGGACCCGACCTATGTTCCAGCTCGTCACTACTTTCAACCTAAGGTTAGTTTTGTTACTTACCAGTACATAGGGTCGGTTGTACTAATACTACACTTCTGCACATTGCGTGGAGATATTGGCTGATGAGGTTGCTATGTTCGATGGGAGCTGGATTGGAAGATGTACCTGCGTTCTAGTTGTAGCGACCTCTTGTTCATGGTAGCCTTAGATTTTAAAACTCTGTTTATGTAATTTTCAAACAGAAAGTGTATTTAGTTCATATCAGCTTTGTAAACTCTATTTTTAGAAGCTCGTGATTTGTACTACCAGTCCTTGGGAAAGGTATAGGATTTAGATAATTCCTTTGTTTAATCATCTTTTTAATATTATTGAATTTGGATAGTTATTAGTTTGCTTACCTAGCGAGTTGGGTTAGGTGCCATCACGACTAGTGGATTTTGGGTCGTGACACTAACACATCAGTGCAAGCCAAGGAGATAGGAAAGTTGACCTTAGCCAAGGTCCAGAGCCAGCCACCATCAGTTTGTGACTTTTTTGGATTGGGTCATTCAATGTATGAGTGTCAGTCCTCAGCTACATATGAAGTGGTAAATACTGTGGGAAGCTTAGACAGAGGCAACTACCAAAGTGGAAATAATTTTAACTCCATAGGACAGAGGTACCCAGGTTTTTCGTGGAGTTCTCCATATGGTAGTCTGAACTCATGGCAACAGAATAATCGGAGACCCCAGGGACAAGGAGCTCTAAGATTTCAAAATCAGCATACGTAGTAATATCAGTCCCCATAGTCTAACCAGTCTAGCATGGAAGATTTAATAAAGTATTTCATTATTAAGACATATGAAATATTTGAAATTTATGGTGCAGCTATTCGAATCATAGAGAGATAGGTGGGGCAGATTGCTAGTTTGTTATCCGAGAGGTCTCCAAGAGCCCTTCATGCGGATACCGAAAGGAATCTAAAGGAAACAATAAATGTAGTGTCTTTGAGGAATGGTAATGTATTGCAGGACCCCATGGTAACGCAGAATGATGAGTTGACTCGAAATTAAGTTAAGACTGAAGGGGAGTAGAAAAGTGATGAGCATCGTATGAGTGAAGTGAGTGCAGAGCAAGAGGATGGCTTGAAGAAGAAGAACATATTTGAAGTTCCAACAAGGACGAAGAAAGACAAACAAAGAAGTAATGACGAGACTGAAGAGAGTAATATATGACTTCTCTACCTTTCCCCCAGAAGCAAAAAAAAAAAAAAAGAAAAGCTGGACAAATAATTTATGCATTTTCTAGAAGTGCTCAAGTGGGTGCATGTTAATCTACCTTTCACAGAGGTACTCTCTCAAATGCCACCATATGTCAAGTTCCTGAAGGAGATCTTTTCCAACAAGCGGAAAGTGAAAGAGACATCGGTTGGCAAGCTCACAGAGCATTGTAGTGCTATTCTACAAAATAAGCTCCCTCAAAAGTGTGGATATCCAGGGATTTTCACTCTACCTTGCTCTTTAGGAAGTACTAAATTTGAAAAAACTTTGTGTGATTCAGGTGCTTCTATTAATATTATGCCTTTGTCTTTTTTTAGAAAATTGGAGGAAGAGATTGGAGAAATCAGATCTATACCTGTGCCCTTGCAGCTGGCGGATCAGGCCACAATCATACCTGAAGGAATAGTGGAAGATGTGCTAGTTCAGGTGGACAAATTTGCGTTCCCGGTGTACTTCATCGTGGTGAACATGGAAGAGAAAAAGGAGGTCCCTCTTATTTTAGCTAGACCTTTCTTGGCTACTGGAAAAGGTGTATTAAATATTCAGGAAAGGCAGCTCATGCTAAGAGTGTGAGAAGAAAGGGTGGTGTTCAAAATGAAGGAGGCCGTAGGTGCACCCAGAGACGAGTCGAATGCACACTCTGAATTCAAGGCAAAGGCCCTAAAAGAGCGAGGTGGAGAGGGTAAGCATGACAAGTGTGGGGTGCACCTGAAGAAGGCAGAAAGGAAACTTTCAGCATGGATGTGTCCACTGGGTCAGGCGTGCAACGTGGATCCCGACTTTGATTCAGACCTAGAATAGATGATTCAGGGGAGTTCCCTTTTACCTATTGCTTTTTATTTGTGTGACATGGGAATATGCCACAATTTAAAGTGTAGGGTGGGGGATGTAATTATGTATATATGTGTTTTGTTTTTCTCAGTTAGGAATATTTGAATAAATAAATAAAAAATTTGACTTTTTGTGACGATGAATTTCCTCTACTGTCTTATTGAGGGATCAAAGTCGAAGAAAAAAAAAATTTAAGTTTGTTTTATTTTCTTAAGTAGTGTAGTAATTTTCCCTTGGTTTTCTTTGTGTCGCGGTTCTTTTCCAAGGGTTTTGCTTGAACCGGGTGTAGTTAGATTTTTCGTTTTGTAGGAAAAGAAATTCATGGGTCATTGTAGTTGGGAGCAATTTTCCTTGACTGCGTATGTCTTGAGAGTGGTGAGTGCCTTAGTTGTGACGCCTAGGCTCAATTCATGACTCATGGATAAGTGCCTTAATATGGTTGATCTCGACTATGCTTTAATGCCTTGATTGGAGAGTCAGGATAGATCCGATCCTAAGTGGGTTATGTGCCGATGTGTGTGTGAGATTGTTGGTGATATTCTGTGCATGTCAGTTGATGTCTAGAACTTGCCCAGTGTGTTTGCAATGAGAAATAGAAGTCTTGTTCGGTCTAGGAAGTGATATAAACATTTTTTTTGTTGAGCCAGATATATGCCTATGACCCGCCTAATTGTTGTGTATCCTAATTAGCCCCTTTGAGCTTGTAATCCTATTTTCTTTGGCAACCACACTACCAGTATAGCCCATTTGTTTGAATTGACTATCGGTTTGAACCTTTCACCACTTATGAGCACTTGAATTTGATATGAGCTTGTTAAAAGCTAAGTGGAGGTATAGTTGGGTTTTGAGTGGAACTGAGAAAAATGGAGAAAGGTGAACTGTTTAAAATTATGAGAGCCACCTGTAAGGAATTGAAGAAAGAAGAAATGAAGTTGCTCGAAAAAAAATCAGAACTTTGAAAAGACAAAAATGAGTTTGTGTATGTATTAGGCAAAGATTGGTTCCTTGTTAGTGGTAGTTCTCATCTTATTTGTGCTTAAAAAGATTGGGAGCTTGGTGCTATTAGGTTGTACAGGTGAAAATTTGGTTCAACATAAGTGTGGGGTTTCAATTGTTAATGTATATGTATTAAAGTTCTTAGGGAGGTGTAGTCACTCTGTCCAAATTGTATCCTACCCGTCCCATAGCTTACATTACAACCAAATAGATTCCTACTTGATCTTTGACTGAATGAGCTCAATTAGTAGAGTATTACAATACGGGTAAGCCTATGGTACGTCTTTTGTGGCACGCGAACTTTAATTATGAGAGTGAGTGAATTATTTCTATCTTGAGTTCCTATTTGTTCTTGAACTTTATTATGTGTGGAACTACTATCTATATCTGGTGTGAGGGCGCATGATTTGCAAAGAAAATGTACGGTCTTTGGCCTCTGTGTTAGAGTAAGTGAGCAGGTTGTGAAAAATTGATAAGTGGGATCTTCACTACTTATTAGCACCTTTTTGCTTTTGTTTAAGTACGAAAGTATCGATTTATGTTCCCGAAACTAATGAAATTGTGCAAATTACAGGAATATTGGAAGTTTGGTCGCCCACGATGAAGTCCGACTCAATAAGGAGTGTTCCGAATCACAAGGCAATAAAGGCCGCATAATTAAAGAAGTCCGATCTGCAGAAGGGTTTCTGCGGCCGCAAAAGAAAGTGCGGACCGCAGAATTCCATCCGCGACTGCAAACCAAGTAAAAGCACCCAACAAAACTTTGGCTAATGTGCGTCCGTAGAACAGGGTCTGCACTGACAAAAGATTCAAAGTTCAAAGAGTGTGAAAAAGACCAAGTCCTGAAGCCTTGCTGCAGTGCGGACCGCACAAGAATTGTGCGGCCACAGAAGATACTTTGCAGTCGCAACCCAAAAATGTGCGACTGCAGAATCCGAACTTCTCAATTGAAGAATCTGCGGGCTGCACATGGAATTGTGAGGCCGCAGAACCTTCCGAGGAGCATTTTTGTCAGCGAATTTTGGGCCACTATAAATAGACGACTTTCACATTTTTAGGTTAAGTTTCGAAGTTTAAGTAGATGTAGCGTTACATTTTGCCATTTTAGTAAGTTTGTGACTATTTTAGTGTTTAAACATTATATTTTGTCATTTCAATCTTTGAATATGAGTTTAATTAGTATTTCTTCTTTACTTTCTTCAATCCCACTATGAGTAGCTAGATTTTTTACTAGGGTTGTGACCCAACCTAGTGTGTAAACCTTATAGGTACCTAATATAATGCTTGTTTGTGATTGTGTGTTGATTATTCAGCTTGGTTTATGCTTCAATTTTAGAATTAATGGCTGCAAACATCAATTCATGCCTTTTTAACTTAGTCTCTGCTTGAGAAAGAGGGACCTAGTCTAGGATAACTTGGCTAACAAGGAATTGGGTTGATTGTGAGTTTGATTAGACTAGTTAAAGGGTTCAAACTAGATATAGCATGAGAAAGCGTATTGAGATCATATCAACAATTTTTTTGATACCCATTTGAACTTGAGAAAGTCAAATTGGGCAAAGTCACTCTTTGATCGAGAGGTATTGAGTGGGTAACGTAGAGTTGAGAGCTATAATACACCCCAATCAGCAACAGGTATTAACGTATTTAACCCATTAGGCGAACACCTAGGTCATGGTCACATCCCTGGGCCTTTTAACTAATTGTAAAACACCAAAAACTATCATTCGTTTCTAGTTTCTTTTCTTAGTTTATAATTGTTAGAGTTAAAGTAGAACTAGTAATCAAAACCTTCTGTGGAAGTGCAAATTTAGTTAGTCCATTCACTCTCATCAAGTGTATACTTCTAAAACCCATTGTAACTCCATGTGGAAATCAACCCCGACTCTTGTTGGGTACTATTCTTCCAACGACTTCCACTCACTATTGAGTGCAGATTAGATGTTGATCAATTTTTGGCACCGTTACCGGGGAGTTAAAATGGTGTTAGCTATGTATTTGGGTTTGTTTTTGGAATATCTTCTTTCCCTTTTGTGTTACTAACTTGTGTGACAAATTTTAGGTACAACCATGGTGGCAAATAATGATCTCGGAAATGTGCCTTTGTGGGATGTGGACGGCAAGGATGAGCAAGTTGAGGAGGTAGCTCTTGAACCTAAAGCCAATAGAAGAGGTCGAGTGCCTCATGACAATATCCCCGCTCCACCCCCACCTCCACAACAAGCGGATCCACACCCGGTATTACCCGATGAAGGATATGCTAGTGCAATAGTCCCTCCCCGTATTAGGATGGGCAACTTCCAAATAACCAATGTGATGCTCACTTTGCTTGAGCAACGGGGATTCTTCACCGGTGATCCAACACAAAATGCTTATAAATATTTGAAGGGGTTTATGGATGGGGAGCAAGCAAACAAATGTCTCCGAGGATGCATTGAGGCTAAGCCTTTTTTCCTTCTCTCTACGGAGAAAACTATAGATTGGTTGGAAGAATAGCTGAATCATTCAATTCACACTTAAGATGAATTGGCGGAAAAGTTCATTGCTAAGTTCTTCTCTCCCGGACACATGGCTACACTTCGAGATGAGATTTTGGCTTTCAAGCAAGAGCCGAACGAACCACTACACGAGATATGGGAGCGCTATAGAATAAAGGTTAAGGAATGTCCCAACAACGATATGACAGAAAACATGATTCAACAAACTTTTTATCGTGGGATTAACATGACCAACCAATGTGTTGTGAATCAACTTGCCGGTGGGAACTTTATGACTACGCCTTATGCGGAGGCGTGTGAGATTTTGGATGAGATGGCGGAAATGTCATCGGTTTGGCAATCCCAGGCCAATGTTCCACAAGGTTATCCGAATATGATCCACCTTCACAAAGAATTGCATGACCATGGGCAAGTCATTGCCGAATTGACTACTACCATGAATCAACTAGAAAAGTCTCAACTTAGTCAAGTGCAAGCTCGTAAGCAAGTCATTGCCATGGAAGGGGTGAACATGATGGTGAACAAGAAGAGGACCAAGGGTCCACAAGTGCAAACTCGAGTGGAGAATATGTACAAGAAGATAGTGGTTTTGAGCAAGATGATTCCTATAATGAACAAGAAGAAGAAGTGTAATATGTGAATAATGGCAAAGAAACAATTTTCAAGGCCCAAGCCAACAATAATGGCGACCTCAAAACAATCAAGGCAATTGGAATTCTAACAATCAAAGAAATCGGAGTGGTGGCAACAATAACGGGAATTGGAATAACAACAACAATCAAGGAAATACGAGTGGAAACAACCAAGGAATTTGGGGAGGTAACAATCAAGGCGGATGGAACAACAATCAAGGCAACCGGGGGTTAGGTTTTCAAAGGCAACCAATGCATCAACAACCAAGCAACCCACCTCTTATCCTTCCCATGGTTCAAGTTCTTCAAATAATTAGATGGGGCGTATTGAAAATATGTTCAAGCAAATGACAGAAATGAATGCCGATTCGAATACCCAACTTGCCTCACACAACATATCAATCTGCAACCTAGAATTTCAAATAGATCAAATCTCTCAAGCTCTAAATTCTCGTCCTAGGGGCACTACCAAGTAACACGGTAGTAAACCCAAAGGGTGGCAACAATGTGGGGCATGCCATAGCCATTACCACAAGAAGTGGAAGAGGTGGGAATGCACCCACCTCAAGTCAAAGGCAACTTATTGATGATGATCAAGTGATGCAAGAAGAAGAGA